CTTTAATATAATGAAGGATAAGGTACATTTTGATAATGAATTTATCATTGTCTTTGTATAAAAGTTATTAAAGAAAAAATATAGTACGTAACGTATTAAAAATGAGCTAATGATATCAAAAATTTGCAATTCATTATGCACTAACAACTTTCTATCTTGTTATTTAGAATTGCATAATTGCGTGCTCGATATTAACAAATACACAATTTTAGTGGGCGATCCTGCTCTAATGGCAATTTATTGTCCACCTGATTTATAAAAGATATCACATTTATAATGCTTATCATTTCTATGAATTGAAAGTAATTCGACTTGTATTCTGTCCAGAAATATTAAGGATTACCAAGTCTGATTTGATGCGTTTACAGTTAGCCCACATATCACGTGTTTAATATGAAAAGCTTTGTATTCACACGTTGCCTTGATGCAATTTCACTTCACTTTTCCTTTGACGTTACCACCATTTTTATAACTTAATTGCACTTTGCCATTACGATACTAATTTAACCATTAAGATTGCTTAATCTGATTATAATCTGATAAGCATGATGTACAAAGGTCAGATAGAAATCTCATAGCGACAACCATGGACATAAAATGAGTTTACACTTTATATATACAGCACTTAGTATGGTTAAAATTCATTTTACATTTGCATACTTCAGCGCTGACTTATAATACTAAAGACTTTACATAGAATCATTTCTAGGATGTCCAATTTAAATAATTTTCAATTTGTATGTACATCTATAAAAGAATAACAGAGGAAACTCTTAACACCATTAATCAATGTCTTAAATATAGTTAGGGATACGGGCTATCTAAGAAATTAGAATCGCCTCGGAGGACAGCCTTCTTAGAGAAATGTTCAGGGGTGTCAAAATACCTGTCTTTATTTATTACCAGCCCATTGAATCGGTGGACACATTCTAGAAATTGCAAACGTGTTAAGATTAATGACCGCTGAGCGTTAGATTCGCTTGTGTTTACGTTCGTTGTATGTCAATGTCGACTTATTGTGAAAAATATATTTAGCAATATTATATTAAACACGCAATGTAAATAATAATACAGTTTTCATACCGTCAATACAGTATATAAATAGTTTTTTATGTTTATTCTTTATCTGTTAGATACATGTATCGTGTATTTTTAATCTGTATCCTCAATGCCAATTCCAATATAGGTAACGAGGAAGCCTTGTTTGGATGTCAGGATGACCTAATACCAACCCCTCCCATATGACTTCATAACATAATAGTCATTAGAATTCCCGTAACCAATTGTCAAATACGTATAAAACATATTGCGTCTCGTTTGAGAGACTTGTTCAATAATTCTGATCTAATCAATAGGTATACGATGGATAAAAAACTTGATTAATTAACTTATAAATGATAAGCGAATTAATTCATTCGTTACGAGCATACATTTCGGACGCTGCTTACTTATGTTACATTTAAGGTCAGGCGAGAACGGAAATTTCTAGCGAAAGATGGAGACGAATTCATGTAATTTGTAGAGCTTTAAATAGCAGGAAATAATAAAATATAAAGTTTTTTGTGTCTCCTAAGAATAAATGTATGTTTTCATTTTATTTATTCTGTGAGAAATGTCTTAGATTCGATGATATAAAGATAATATTCAAATTTATGGTTCAACAACAGTTTTTTGATAGGAAAACGTGTTCTATAACTATTTTATAGATATCAATAACCCCTTGATTACTGTGAAATTAATTGTGTAAGCTGTGAAATTTTAACGAAGAAAAATTTTAGACCATGTCTTTGTACGACGACGATACAATTGTAATTGTTTTTTAATGTACGTGAGTAATATATTTTTTAATTAGTCCAATTAAAACTCTTTATTTAGTCATACTTTTTGAGTTCCAATACTTTTAATATATTTATCCTCTACATACTAGATGTACATACGAGATGTATAATATACGAAAAATATTTGACCTTATTTTACATTTTTAACGTTCCAATTTTTTATTATATATTTTAATATCAACAACTTTTATTATATATTTTAATATCAATCATAATTTTAATCAATTGCTTGCAATGAAAAGAAATGATTACCTATTTAAGACTTGTGTATTATAATTGCATATCTAGTATAATATCGGTAGCATTTAATACAATTAGAGGAAACATTCTGTTCTAAATTCTATATCATAACCCTCTTATTTCGTGTCGGTTGAAACTAAGCTTCCAGATGTATCAGACCACAGGCGTAGTTGATATAAATTGAATGTGACGATCTGATTCGTTGTAATTGAGTAAAATGTCTACTGTGATTGTTTTGACCAGTGATATGTAATGAAAAAAAAAAGATAAAATTTTGTAGAAATATGATTAAAATTATTTGCCGTACATTTAAGTGTTTTTTTATTTAACCTACTGCAAAAGTATATAGTAGAATAACAATCAGTTCATTTATAAATCGGCGGTATTGAGTACTTTGGCATTTAATTTATTTTAAACGTTAGAATAAAGCTTATAGAAATAACTGAGAATGTATCTGTATATTGAGTAAATAGATATTGTTAAGAGGCTTTCATTAATATGAATATATACGTATTGATACCATGTAACTCATTAATAAAATTTGTCCAAGTTCGCAGTTGCAGTGGATATAACGAATCTGTAAATAAGATTTATAAATTTCGACTAAATTTGTATTTCGGGCTTGAATATAATGGTACTTACGGTGAATGAGTACAAATTTATGTTAAAATTTTGCCGATACTCAGCTCCGCGGGACGATTCATTCCGCTAAGAGCCCCTGACCTAATAAAAAATCTGTAGCAGAAAATATCGCAGGATTTAATACCGTGTATACGATGTGGAACTGATTTTGTGTTTTATTAATGCATATTAAAAATTATAAGTCGTATACATACGTTCTTCGACGGGATAAATAACAAGATTCTTTTTTAAATTCTCAAATATGATGAATGAATGTTTTTTTAATTTATAAAATAAACGTTTAATAGCTCAAGTGGCAGAGCAGGCGCCATTTAGATAGATAAAAAATTGTATAAATTATATTTATTAAATTTGATTAATGGTTTTGTTAACAATGGGTTAATTGCCACTAGGATGGTTGATGCAAGTTTTTTCGGTTTCATACATTCTTACATCATTTGAAGGCAAAATTTTACTTTTATTTGCTATTTGATTATTTCCATAAACTTAAATTTGGTCTATAGCTTATACCAGAATATGGATTATAGTTTTTAGTTGATTTTCTAACTTATTATGATCTCTTTATATAAATATTGTAGATATTACGACAAATTGTTGCCAGCCATAAAATAATGAGGTTTCACGCACCATCCGTAGAGAAAGAATATAATTGTGTTAATTCCTTAAACCGTTGCCTCTAAGCTAACAATAGACACTCTTTGTAGCGCATTCAAATGGATCGCTTTTGTTTAGAACATTCCTTGAAGCTCTTCATTAATGACATTTTTTTTGTAAAACAATGGAATCTGTAATAATCCTTATAAATATGGTTATTGCGCTATTTACTTAGCTTAGGTTATCTCTAATTAAATAAAAGTATTAGTAATAACTATTAAATAAAAGCAAAAAAGGGACATAGAAAAAAATTATAATTACTGTGTTCGAAAAAGGGTCACTAAATGATATATTTTTATAATGGACTCTAATAGACTATAATTATTTACTTATTAGTGCTGTAGAAATTTTTCTGGATAAGACGAACATATTATAATTACCTACTTTTTTCTTGAAATTAAAATCTATAATGAAAAAGCTGTTGTCATAAAGATACTCACTAATTTAATAAATAAAAATAATCGTAATAAATTTCACTTTCTTTCATACCAATTTTTATCTTTCTTTAGTTCTAACTTTTATCTTTCTTTCAACTTACTTCATGTATAAAGATTTATTACTACAAACTTGAAACGCCGCGTATTTAGTGACTCCACAAAACATGTTGTAAGTCTTCAGTATTATACAAAACACGAGTAACAATCACTTAAGTCATCGCTTACAAAACTAAAACATTCAATTAGCTTTATAACGAATAAAATATCGTAGTCACGTCTTTTAGTGATGTTATTTGTGAGTGCTTTAGAATTCTTATAACTTGATAATTATTACCAGTAATGTACAATATGGGATAAATTATTATGACAACATCAAAGTAGAACTATTTCTTGAAATAATCCAATAGAATAAAATTCAATAATCTTAATAATATACTGTTTTATTGGAATAATATGAAATAACTATGTTTATAAGGACGGTCGATGATTTAGGCACCATGGGTGGCGTTTTATTTATAGATTAGAAACAAATCATAAATTCTTTATCATATACGGAACTGGTTGTGATATTGGTAATAAAATTTAATCATAACAATATTCAATTTAAAATATACAGTGTGTTATCATTGTTATATACCAAATGTTTTTGAAATAAATATTGGAAGAATATTACAAGAGTTCTAAGAATTTTAAAACAATAACGAACAGCCAAAATTTATAGTTTAATTATATTTTTGATTGTTGACTCAATAAAGTTTCAAATGATTTTCATACTTAGAATCGTTGGTCGTTTTATCTGATATAAATATTACCAAATATATATATTAAATGATTAATAAAGAATGCTTTTGACTGCGACATCACGCTTGTAAAATTTTTACATAGCCCTAATTTAGTGGTTAAAATTTAATTCGGTTTTACATTAGAAGTCACTGAAATTTGCTAAGTTTCACAAATATTATGTGTCTGAATATAATCTTTTAACTACTAAAACTATTCAATATATAATAATACATACAATAAGCAAACATATTGTCTATAAAATGTATATAGATATTTAACCAGGACCCATCTGATGCAGTTGTCCAATTGCCTCATGATGTACGCGTTAATAAATTGCTGAAAACTATTGTGTTATAAGGAAGCTGTAACTCTGTTATTGGTTTTAATGAAATGTATATGAAATAGAATGATCGTTGTGCAACTGAAAGCTACTTATACTGTTCCGGTAAGAAGTCTATTTATACCTGATAATACAGTTTATAGCGTATCATTTTGGGAACGATTTTAATGTGCTTGTAACTTCATTAAAATATACAATCAATATATTTTTGTTAAGAATCTACACTGTTCTAAATAATACGAAGTTTGGTGATTTTAAGTTATTTACATATTTTGGAGCAATAATTTTTCTGCGTCATCCAAAAAAAAATTACGTACAATAATTTTTCCTAACAAAAACTTACAATAAATCAACGTCAATACCGAATTTCTTTGCGTGTGTAGTTTCGTCTAAAATGAAATGCTAATGATATTGTAGTAAAAAATCTGTGTGTGCTAAATTAAACAGTGGTCAACAACCTGTCAACCATAGCCTCAAGGTCGTTTTCATCATAACCAACTTATATACATACATTTGAATTGTTTAATATGTATTTATGTGTGGAATTTATAAGGTATTTAATTGATGGTCATACATGTTTTTTTATGATTTGAGGTCACTTGTAAAGATGTTTTATTTGCGATAGTAAAATGATTTTAATTGAAACATAGTAAAATTTTTAAGGATGACAAAAATAAGTATTTAATTCTGACTTCATTAAAAAGTAATGTATATTGTATAATCAAATTTATGAAAAAATTAACAATGGTAATTACAGAATTTATTAAAAACAAAAAATATATGTATAAACCCTGAAATGTCATTTGTCATTTTGACGTAGGACGTCTGAAAGTGCAGCCCTAGATAATATAATTTGAAATGCAGCGAGACCTGCCGCTAAATACCATCACTAATCGATTCTGACATGCTACCGGTTGGAACTTCACTAACCACATTAAACCTCTCATCCACTGGCCATTGCATAACGTTGAATTTTTTAAAGTTCATTAAGAGTCAAAATATTTGAACTTTGAATGGGAGATAGCCTTTGTACTAGCCGCCGGATGCCCTTTAATCTTTCAATTTCGTTTAGATATAACAAGACCGTACAAATTAATGTCACACATTTTTTAATCTACATTTTGACAGATTAATGATTTAAAAATCGAATTTTCTTGTCCATCCACTATCTATAAAGTGTATTGTTTATCGTCTTTGTATTATAAATGTATTTATTTATTATATGAATGTAATGAGGTCTTTGTTCAACACAGTTTGGTCAAGTGAGCTATCGTACAGTATTCGTGTCAAATGTGAATGACATGTCTAATTACCATGAAACAGCCCCGTTGCCTGAAAATAAATTTCTTTAATGTTTTCATAGAAAATATTTTGACAAAGTTAAAAATTCTTTACAGTTTATTCATTGATATTATTTATTCAAGCGGTCTTTGTACAACGTGTATCGGTTATTCAACACAGACTTTTAAATTTAATCCGATATTTTTTATTCTACATCTTTAAATAGCCAAAGTTAATGGGATCAATAATTTTATTTTATCTGAAATTAGTCACATTCTGTAGTAAGGGTATTGGTAGTTAATAGGAGAAGTTATCCTTAATTTCTACTATAATATTATAAATGCGAAAGTAACTCCGTCTGTTTGTTACGCTTTCACGCCTAAACCACTGAACTGATTTTAATGAAATTTGGTACAAAGATAGAGTTGACTTTGAGAAAGAACATAGGATAGTTTTTATCCCAGATTTTTGAAAGGTTCTCTTGGAAACGCGATATAACCGAAATCCACGCGGGCGAAGCTGCGGGCAGAAAGCTAGTATAATATATTTTAAACTGAGATATGTCTTGTGCATCATCAAAAAAAATCACTAAGGTTCCTGTAAGGATACAAATGTTAGTTCCCATATAAGGATATATCAAACATCGAAACTGTAATACTAATCCCATACATATTCATTGTCTATGGTACAAGTGATACACTGGTGCTTTGTGTTTAGTGTCGCAACACGGGCGCGACTATTCGGATCACCAGACACAGATATAGGCCATACAGACATACATTCAGCGCTGATTGTATGGTGACACACTTTATCGAATTGTAATTAAATTTAGTAGGGACTGCTGTGAAAACGCGAATAAACTAACGATTTGTTCTTATTTTGTATGTCATATATTGTTATCCTGTCAACGAAGCTAAATATAGAAGAATAATAACAACAGATTATTCAATTTGGCATTATAATGTTAGTTCGTTATGGACCATTTAACTCGGATATGCTCATGAGATAATAAATCACACATCAATCAAATATATCGATTTAATTGCCATTAATACGACGGGGCTTATTGCAAATAATTAGTATAATTAGTTTATTTTAGTGTTTGACTGCATCATAACGATTTGTATTTATGGTTTTAGCGAAATTTATTGATATTATACGATCGATAAAATCCATACAGTATTTTAGTTTTATATCTTTAAATAGAATGTGATTAATTTTGTGCATTGGTGTGAGACACACGACGTTCCCATAAAGAAACATCAAATACTCTTTGGTCAAATGTCACTTTAATCGATGTTATACAAATGTCACTCAATGACGTTTATGACTAACTATTTTGTAATATTCAATGAATAAGTTATCAAAAAAGTAATTATAATTAAATAAAATATTTAAATCATAACGATATATCGTTCGTATTGGTGAATTAATACTGAATAAAAGAAATATTGAGTGATCTACAGTGTTAGTGACATAAGAGTCATTTAAAAACTTATTTTAACAATAGGTAAGTGCCACAGATAATCTTAAAATCTTCAAGCATAAAACCTTCTTGTATCAAATGTATGAAAAACAAACATAACGTGACATATAATTTAACAATAGTAAATCTAATATTAATTGCGTCTATATACAAAATGTCAGAACGGAGTTGGGCGTGTTAACAAGCGGGCGCTTTGTATTAACAAAAGACACGCGTCTTAATCAGCTTAACGGACAAATTACAGCAAAGAGGATTACAATTTTAGTTCATATGGTGCAATTTGTCACAATGTATTGAAGCGTTTTTTAACAACCCATTTTTATTTCGGACATTCGGTATAATTCCTTTGAAGTGAAAACGTCTGAGCGTATGTGACTCCGTCCGGATGGTATTGTTGAAGCTTACTCTATTGTTAATTGCATTTTTAATTTAAATCGTCGAATGTAATCCGTTTCTGGGAACGATTTGATCCCGGTGGAAAGGAAACGTAATACGATCCGCGATCGTTGTTTATACAAACGTACATCCTGATAAAACTATTACGCAATTTAGATTCCTAACCTGTGTTTATAAAGGTCATTGTCGCTTGTACATTAAAATTCGTATACATAACGCACGGAGTTATCTGCATTGTAATGTTGTTTTAGTAAACACTCATTACACGGTTCAATCGCGCGCATCGTGTTGGCACCACGCATTGACCACCATGACCTTATGTTCTCAGCTTACGTTGTTTCATTTTAAATTTTGCTGTTTAAAAATTCACTGGCATACAAAACTATTGCAAATGCTAAATATTGTACAATAGTATACAGGTACATTAAAATAAAGTTACATTCATAAATATTATAATTTTATAAATAACTGAATTCGGGGTATAAAAGAAATTCGTTGAAATTAGATTAGGTTTAAAATTAATTTTGAAGAGACAGTTTTAAATAAAATTAGGATAAATTAAATCCGATGAAAGATATCTGTACAAAGCGTCTTCAAGCATTGACGAAAATCTCAAACACATACACGCTGTGTTATAAAAGTAAACAATAAATTAATTTTACATACTTCTATATAATTGTGAATTTAAATAAGCCATAAATTAATATGCAGTAACAAAATATATTTAACGTGCAAAATATATCTATGTTTATGTTGCAATGGAACAGAAATTACTTAATTTCTAGGATTTCTTTAGTTTACTCAAGACGATAACTCTCAGAAACATGACAAGTTCTCCGTCTCATACAAACTTATAACAGAATATTGAATGTATGCTTAAAGTTGAATTTTATAAAATATTTGAAATATATAATAAATACATTAAATTAATAATAATAATTTTTTTTCATTTAAATTTTTCAAGTATTACGTCTTCACTTACTGTAGAAAATATATTATGTATTATTTAAAAAAAATGTGTATTCAATGTCAAATAATAATCATTAAAAAATAATAACGTTTTTTCTAGGAAGCGTCCATAATGTAAATAACTTTTTTATATCTTCCTGTATACACTGTTATAGTTACATTATAAACAAAAATCAAATGCTCGTCGTCACCAGAAGACGGCTATTTGATCTTAATAAGTCTGCAAACAAAGGGCTTGTAATGTGACACAATTCGACTCACTCTGATGCTTTATTAATTATACTTATTATAAACAATGAAAAAAATCTAGTTTTTTTTTCATGAACTATTAAATAGATATGTATTAATTTCTCTCTCTATATAAAAACTAATGAACGTAATTTTTATATGTACAAAGTAAGCTGAGAGTTTTCGCTATATAAATTTGGGTACTTAATTTTTGATATGAAAACGTATTAAATATTTCTAAGCCTAAATAATCATAAGTACAAATAAGAAATAATTTTCCTGTAAAAAACATTTTCGTTTATAACTATAGTTAAAGTCGCAAGCAGTCTTTATCTTGTGATCTAATTTCTTAGTTATCTTCAAGTTATCTTTCCTATCTAGTTATAATAGAAAAGTTTCTCCATAACATCTTTTGTATTGTGCAATGTTTGCGAATCGCTTCCCTAAACTACTAGGTACGTGTTAAATTTAAATTTTAACTCATGCAGATTAAATTCTTATAGATACGAGTGTTTCAAATATTATAACAATGTTGAACTATATGTATATATAAGTACGTACTTGAATTAAAATACGGTGCCAAATATAAAAGTTCTTACAAATATATACGATAGCTATATTTATTTTTAATAAGTCGCAGGTTGCAACTTTGATCGAATATATGAACTTTTCATTATATTGTTTTATTTATTAATTTTATTAAGCATATATCATTCAAAAGTATTAGCCAACACTGTTCATGTAA